GGGAAACCCCGGAGTGGGAGAGGCAGAAGCAGCTGGAGAACAAAGTAGCAGAGGCCCATAAGCTGGGTGGGTGCTATGGGGGTGGGAGAACCTGAGACAGTCTGAGATCCCAGGGCTGTTCATGGTTCTATCCCTAACCTATCACAGTGCTATTCTTATTGGAGGTAGAGCCATAGGCCTTGTTGGTTTTGAACTTGGAGATGTGAGAAGGCATTTTGCTATAATTAAAAATGTTTGTACTTGCCTTGGCAGGGTGGTTCAGTTCATTGGAGTGTCATCCCATGGACTGAAAGGTTGCCAATTCCATTCCCTCTCACGGCACCTACCTAGGTTTCAGGTTTGATCCCTGGTGGGGGTGGGTACAGGAGGTAACCGATCGATGTTTGTCTCATACATCGATATCTCCCCCCCACCACACACACACACACACACACACACACACACACACACACACACTCACCTTCCCCTCTCTCTAAAATCAGTAAGACATATCCTTGGGTAGGATTAAAACAAAAGTTTGCTCTTATTAAATGTTTCAGGGGGAGCCCTAACCAGTTTGGCTCAGTGGATAGAGTGTAGGCCTGCGGACTGAAGGGTCCTGGATTCGATTCCAGTCAAGGGCACATGCCTGGATTGCGGGCTCGATCCCAATAGGGGGTGCGCAGGAGGCAGCTGGTCAATGATTCTCTCTCATCATTGGTGTGTCTGTCTCTCTCTCTCTAAAATCAATAAAATATATTTAAGAAAACAAATGTTTTAGGGCGAGTCATGACAAGGGCTTTTAGGAATCTCTAGCTTAGCCCATTCAGGGTGAGTCTCCAACACTCTTAGAGGCTCTTCCCCAACTTACTTGCCCAGCCTTGCCCCCTTACACACATGCTGAAGTCCAGCTGGATATTCCCACCCTCCCCCTTCCTGCCTTTGTTCACACAGCTCAGTTCTCTGCATATCCCAATCCAAATTCCACCCATCCTGTAGAGCCCTGCTTCAAAGCCACCTCCCCTGGGAAGTCCTCCAGAACTTCCTCCAGAGGACAGAACTGTATTTTCTCTAGCACTTCACGCTCTCTAGCTCTCATGGCACTGACCACCTTCACCTTAGTTGGGGGTGACTGGTGTCCCTTTTCTAGATGTCCTACACTGGATCTCCTGGGGAACAGAAGCAGTGTCAGGCTTTCGTTTCCTCAGGGCCTGGTACTTGAGTAGATCAAATAAATACTAATTTATACAAGCACATCTCATGGGACCCCCTCCCTGACTTCCTGCCACAGGTGGTGTGGCTGCACCGATGTTATGGATGAGAAAACTGGGACCCACGGCTTGTCTGAGATCACCCAGAAAGGCACAGCTGCAGCTCACCAGCACTCCTCAATGCTCCTCAGCAAGGGGAACCAGTCTCCCACCCCCTGGGGACCCTGGAGTGGAAGAGGCGGCAGCAGCTGGAGAACAAAGCAGTAGAAGTAAAGGAAGCCACTCACAGGTGCGTGGTGTGGGCTGAGGTCACCGAGTCACTGCCTTTCCTTCTGTCATCCTGTCCCTTCTCTTCATCCTCCTTGGTGTGTCTGTCTCTCTCTCTTTCTCTTCCTTCAGCTTCCCTTTTCCTTCTCTTCCTCTTCCTCTTCCTCACGGCTTCCCACCCGGGCTTGTACCTGTGATTCATTTCTAGTTTCCACCCAAGGCCCTGTCACCTCCACTACTGCTACCTCCATTTTGACGCCCAGCCCCTCCCCGAGGAAAAGTTGGATGCTTCCCTTGCTCTCAACTCCTCATCCTTTCTAAGTTAACTAAGAGGGCCCAGGCCAAGGAGGCATCCAGTCATTTTCCTTCCCTTTCCACTGCCCACCTCAAGTTGGAAAATGAACAGTTAGAGAGCCGTGTAAAGGGATAATCAGGACCAAGGTCCTAATTTCTTTTCCAAAGCCTCCTCAAGGAGATCAGCTTCCACTGCTAGGAGACAAGAGCAAGGGAAGTGTCACAATAGAGGGTGCTAGGGTCCCCAATGTGTACTTCATTCATTCATTGAATATATTCTGAACACTTCCTATGACCAGACACTGTTGTAGGTGCTGGGGATACAGAACATCCCCTGCCATCTTGGAGCCCACATGCTAGCAGAGACAGACAATTATAAAGTAAACTAATACATTCTCAAGATAAGTACAAATTAGGGTAAAAGGTATGAAGCCACTAAATAGGGAGAGTAGCTAGGTGTTGGCAAAAGTCAGAGACGGCTTTTATGAGGAGGTTTTATGTGAGCTGAAACTGGATTTAATCAATCAAGTTAACTTAGTTATTTTCGTTAGGTAATATTAGCATCATTAGCTATGTAAAAATTTATTGCTGAGTACTATATGTGATCACATTTTATTTGTTATACAAGGTTTTATTTTCGACTAGTTGATGGGCCTCATTCTTCTCTTCCATTTGCTAGTTTTCTCTGTTGTTAAGTACCATTAAGCTCCAACTCCTGGCTTGAATGAGTGATGTCCACAGAGTCCTGCCCTCAACAGCCCTTCTCAGCTCTTGTTCACTCATGTGGCTTCTTTTACGGAGTCAATCCAGCTCGCCTTTGGTCTTCCTCTTTTCCTGCTGCTTCTGTTTTCCCCAGCGTTATTGTCTTTTCCAAAGAGCCCCGCCTTCTCATGATGTGCCCGAAGTAGGACAGGTTCACTTTGTCCTCTTACCTTTAGCAACGTTTCAGGCTTCATTTGCTCTAGGACCCACTTGTGTGTGTGTGTTTAATATATATAATTATCACTAATTCTTTTCACATCTTCTATTAGCCTTCCAACACAACTTTTCACAACATGAAATGCATCAGTACCGTATCTGTTCCACTTTCCTTTTTCTGGAAGCCTTCCAGGCTCCTGTTCCAGCATGGACTTGCTCTCCAGCATCTACCTTGATGGCGCCTTTCACCTCTCTCCCTGGCTAGGTTAGATTTCCTGAACCCCATGTTTTTTTCTTTCTTGGTTTGCTCCCTTCTTTTGCTGGAGCACATCTTCCAGTAGTTTCTTGAGAAAGAGTGCATGGGATGAAACCCCTTTGATACATAGCATGTCTAAAAATACCTTTTTTCTACATTTTTGAAAAATGTGGCTAGGAATAAAATGATACATTTTAGAAAATCATTTCCCCTTGGCATTCCTTCATTGGCTTTTAGCTTCCAATTTGCTATTGAGAACGCTGATAACATTCTTTTTAAAAAAATATTTTTTATTGATTTCAGAGAGGAAGGGAGAGGAAGACAGAGAGAGAAACATCAATGATGAGAATCATTGATTGGTTGCATCCTGCACGACCTCTACTGGGGACCCAGCCTACAACCCCGGCATGTGCCCTGACCAGGAATTGAACCCAGGAATTGATACGATTCTTATCCCAGAACCTTTGTACATGATCTTCCCCTCTCCCCAGAAGATTATAGGAGAGCATAGTGAATACAAGCTTGGACTTCGGAGTCACACTGCCTAGAAGACTGATTGTGTAACCTTGGGCAAATTTATTTTTTTTGTTGATTTCAATATATTTATTGATTTCAGAGAGGGAGGGAGAGAAACATCAATGATGAGAGGGAATCATTGATCAGCTGCCTCCTGTATGCCCCACACTGGGGATCCAGCCCAAAGCCCGGGCATATGCCCTGCCTGGGAATTGAACCAGGACCTCCTGGTTCATAAGTCAGTGCTAACCACTGAGCCAAGCCAGTGGGGCTTGGCCAAATTTTTTAATCTCTCAACAACTCAGCTTCCTTATTGACAAATGAGGTTGTTGGAATTTTAAATGAGTTAATACATATAAAACACTTATAACAGTCCCTGGCAAAGAGTATGCATTATATAAACATTTGTGATGATTATTATTATTGTTAGGATCTCTTTATTCCTGGTATTTTACATTTTAGTATTAAAATTAATGTCTTTTTTCATTGACTATGCTGGGAATTAAAAGGTACGTGACGAGGGAGAGAAGCATTCATTGGTTGCCTCTTGTTTGTGTTCCAACCAGGCACTCAACCCCCAACCTAGGTATGTGCCTGGACTGGAAATCAAACCCATACCTTTCAGTGTATGGACGATGCTCCAACCGCCTGAGCGGCCCAGCCAGGACTCAACTTTCTCTTCTAAGTCTTCTACTGAATTTTAAAATCTGAGCTATATTTTTATATTCTACATGCTTTGCTCTTATCTTCACATGGACACTTTATCTTCTTTTATCTTTGCCTGCATTTTTTTCTTCCACTCCCTGTATTGTCCCTTTCCTGAATTTGTTAGCTTTGACTTCTTTCAAGTTGGAGGCTTGCCTTCAATGACTGCTCCTATTTAAGACTTAGGCATTAAAAAGAATGTGCCTGAGTGAATTTTCAACTGGGAGACTTCCCCATCCAGGGATTTTAACTGGGGGCTCCTCAAATGTTTCTATGTTTCTATTTTTTCTGGGCACATTCATTTTCTCCATGAGCAGCGGTATAAGCTTCCTGCACAGTGTTTTTAATAGCCGAGGAAGAGGTTTGGGCCCTCATTTTTCAGGTTTTATTCTTCTGTCTTTGGTCAAGTCCCCTGTCCTCTGCTGTGCCTGGTGTCCCGGATTTTGCAGTGTTTTTAATTCACATTTTCCAGGAGATAAACTTCCCTTTATCTGCCGAGCTGAGGAGCAGTCTTCTGGCTGTGAACCAGGGAGAAGTTTGAGAATTTAAAAAATCTAATTACCCTGAATAAACTTTCAACCTGTTTTATTTTAAATACTAGAGGCCCAGTGCACAGCATTCGTGCATTCGGGGGGCGGAGGGGTCCCTCATCCAGGCCTGCGCCCTTTCCCAGTCCGGGACCCCTCGAGCAGTGTCCCATAGAGAGGCTCCCACCACAGCCTTCTAGCCAAGTGGCACTCCCACTGTGGTTGAGGGTCTGTCCCCTGGTGGTCAGTGTGCATCATAG